AACCTCATTAAACTCATAAGTTAGAGAAATGAAAAGTTTTGACAAGTTTCAAAACTTGCCCTCAAGTTTTGGAATTTGTAAAGTCTCACCTCTGAATACTTTAGTTCCAAACCCTAGAGTTTTAAATGTTAAAATTCTACCCTTATACTTTATATTATTATAAGTTTAATAATTATATATATGTATAAGAAAAAGTCAGTCTTACTTTTAGTAGGCCTTATTCACGAAGCCGGCCTATAAGGGGGGTATAAGGTTACTATCTATAAAATGGTAGTTTAATGGGTGTCCACTCTCACCCACCATTTCCTTGACTGGTGGAGGGTCGTTAGCCGAACGCGTAGGATAGGACACTAATTCTCATTATAAGTATAATGATAAATATAAAGTAACTAAACTTTTTTTAAATTCCCACTCTTAGTTACTTTAAGAAAAATATGAATATGGTGCTATCCCATGAAATTGCACTTTGCACCTTGTTAAGTCGTTAGTGGAGCATGTGTGGTTAAGAGGAACACTAATCTGGGACTGAAAGTGCATGGCAAAGGGTAGCTTGATGTTAATCATAGATCAATGGAGCGTTTGTGGTTAACCGACACATTGATTTGGTGGTTGTAACATTGGGTGTACCAAGCTAATTTGCATGGTTATTCACACCTTGTTTGTGATCCTCGGCATCCCAGTCACAAACTTGAAGGGCACAATCGAGATTTAAACATGCCATTGAAAAATTCAATGAATCTCAAAGGATCTAGGAATTTCAATCCATTTAAAACTTAATAATCAATTTCGTTTTTCATGGTGGAAATTAGTAAATCGTCATTTACCTACCTTCAAATGTTTTGCAATTGGATTACGGCATCCCTCTTCCGAATTGCAAAATATTGTGTTGGGTCCTAGCCTTAATATTTCATTTGGGTGTTATATTAAGGACTTAAATCAACTTACTTGAATTTCTCCCTTGTAGATGTCTAGTTCAGACTACTATGGTCTTCCCAAATCCTTTCTTCATAAAGATGATATTCCACAAGACGATCAAGGTGAAAGATTAATCCCTTCTTCGTGCTATAGTGGAACTTCACTTCCTCCACCTCCTCTAATTATTCTCCCTAACCCACAAGTTCAAACACTTGAAAAAATTCAAGGTCACTCAAACCCTATTGGCAAGTAAACACCAAGATGGAAGGTCTGTGTGTACTCATGTCTTGGAGATGAAGTCACATATTGACAGACTGAGAGTATTGGGTGACGTTGTCTCAAGGAAGTTGGTTGTGACTGGGTTCTTTAATCACTTCCTGAGTCGTATAGTGAGTTCTTTAAGGACTACTATGTGACAGACCACGACATGACCCTTTTTGATCTTACCTATTTGCTTGTTGCTACTGAATCAGCAATGATTTGGCGCACTGGAAAATAAAATTTGATCGGGAGATCTACTTCTCAAAATTCCATGGACATTGACGATGGTAACATTGGAAGTTCAGAAAAGATTTCGCTTCCCAATGGAAAAGGATCGGCCATAGTCAACCCGGTTGACCAAATGGTAAAGAGAAAGGCCAAGTCTGAGATTTTCTCATGTGCCAATGCAAAAGAAGCCATTTGTTTCTACTGCCATTTGAAGGGACATTGGAAGCGAAGCTGTCCTGACTACCTGAAAGATCTGATAGAAGGTAGAATCAAAAAGTTTGACTCTGCTTTAGGTAAGTCTACTGTCTGACTCTATTAAGTTCCTATTTGTTGATTCTTAATACATGATGTGACAAGGTTGCATTTTGATGTTTTTTAGGATCCTGCAAAAGGAAGGAATCTTAAAGGAAGAGTATGTTGAATCTGGTCGCAAAGATGGATTTCAATCGCATGGTTCGATGATTGGATTTTTGAGCTGCTGCTTAAAGAGTTATGATAGATTGCTTATAAATATGTAGTAACATAGTTTTCATTTGTAATTGCATTGTATGGAAAAGTTTTTCCGTACTTTATAAATAAATAAAATTTTGTTTATTATTTTATTATATCTCCTTGCAATGTCATTTGTGAAAATTGATGTTTGTATGTTTCTATGTTAGCAATATGAATTTTATTCTTTCCTTTATGGTAGTGTCGAGAATTTGCCAAATAAGGAAAGATTCTCATCACCCAAGTTTCAATTGGATAGAAACTTGGAATCATGCAACTTGTAGTGTGTGATGAATGAGAACCTTTGCCTTTGGGAAATTAAGACTAATTCCTTGTTCACATGAATATGTGAGTCAAGTGAAGGACTAGGAGATTGGGTACACTTGGTTGTGTACTGGTCGTGGTCGACCACCAAGATCGATAAAACTATTCGTCATGATTTACTGAAAGTAAGTAAATATGGTTATGCTTACAAGATTAAGTATAATTCTGAAACATTGGAAAAGTGTCAATGTATGGCAGAACGAATGAGAAGAATCAAATTAGGCAGAAAGACAAAAGTTTCTCCAATTTGAAAAGATGGGAGAGTACTTTAGAATCGTGTTTTATGATCATCTTAATGAATATGGAAAAACCATATCACAATTGATCCTCTAAGGACACCTTAGTGCACTTGTATGTCTAAGAAGATGAATCGTGAATTGTTGAAATGGTTAAATCAAAAGGTGAATCATACTTCGTTCCAAGAACAAGTCTTAGAGTCATACTCCAAGATTGTAACTTTAGTGACATAATCTTAAGAAAGATTTATAACACTTGTCAAATGTAGAGTAAAATATTTCTTACTCTTGTACATTTGAAATTGCTAAGTTCTAATGTCTTGGTAAGGACAAAGACCAGATAAGACCAATTGTGTGAAGTGTTTGTCTTGATAAGAATCCGCACTAACTCTTGAATATTTGTTTATCAAGTAATGTTCTTTGACAAAGTGAATCTTATATGTCAAGAGGTCAGTGGGAGTCTTAAAGATCTTGAAAGTTTCAATAACTAATCAAGAGTAAACCTATTGTTGAACACTAGCACACGACTCGAGGTTTGTAACCTATCGTGTTGACATATTCTTGTTTCAGTACCCAATCCAGTTGGCTGACTATGCATGTGAGTTCTATGAGTTCTCAATTGTTTGCATAAACAACTTGGAAGCAATGGTAGGCCCTTGTGCGGCCAAGTGGCAAGAAATTAAGATTGAACAAGTTCAGTCCATATGGGTTTGGATTTGTCACTAACCATGTCTTGTGATTATGGTTATGACAAATTCACATGGATAGGAACACATATACCATAAAATCTAGGTGTCATAAGGTTTCTCTCCAATTCATGAAAATGATTGTAAGGAAAGGCTTTCACTAAGTAGATTTTAATAGTTAGCAATTGTGATATTTTCATTCTCAAATTCGATTATGATTACGGCATCCCTCTTCACAGTTCGAATTGTGAGAAATGGCAGAAGGTCTAAACATTTGAGACTTATTGTTATAAGTTCTAAAATTGTATAGACACACATGTGAGCTATCTAAGGAAAGGTGTATGAGTTTGAGAAGGCTAGATAAAGTCTTATCGAAGCATCTCGTATCAGAAATCTAAACTTTGGAAAGGAAGTCAATAAGTATTGATTTCTAGAAGTCCAGATGATTTCTGAATACATGTCAAAGCTAGTGGGAGCATAAGTGTTATGCAAGTAAGATAATAATTATGATGCTAGTGGGAGCATAATTATTATGGAAAGTGTTGCAAGTTAGCAATGTTAATTATAGAAAATCAAAAGGTTTCAAATCACAAAGTTGTAGGGTTTGAAAATTGTTTTGCTATAATTGAGGGAGAGGAAATTATACTTCATTTCAAATCTAAAAGCTTAGATTGAGTTTTTAATCAAATTTAGTCATATATATATATATATATATATATATATATATATATATATATATATATATATATATATATATATATATATATATATATATACCATCTTATAAAGCATACATAATCAATGTCTTAAGTACAAATTTTAAAGCCTCAGGTACAAAGAATTAAGCATGTTATCTTAAAAAACAAGTAGAGCAGATCTGGACCGTTGAATCTACATTGGACGGTGAAGATTCTATCGATGGTGATCCGTGTGATTTGTTTACAACCAATCAAAATAGAGCGTTTGGGCGGCATTTTAATTTTAATATAGGGTTGAATTCTAAGAGGGCAATTCAATTTTTTGAAATCGGATGGCGTCTCAATTCCTCTCTATCACTTTTATCTCGCCCCATTCAAGATTGTATACCTCATTCTCTCTCATTCTAAACCCTAGGTAACTGGTCAGAAGCATTGTGCCGCCTCCTACTTCCCTTAAGAGGTTACTTTGTGTCTTCTAGGTTACTTCCAGCCGACATATTTCCTCTATACTCAAACTCAAATGAATATTCCAAGAAAATCAAATTTTGATCGTTTTCATCATTGATTTTCAATTTTCATCGAAGTCGATCAATAGCAACCTACGAGCCTGCGTGCGATGACCAGCAACAGCAAGAAGCGACCAGCAAGCAGCGACGGATACGGACTGAGCGACCCTTCTTTCTTTAATCGATCGACGACCCCTTCATTGATTTTCATACCTCGCACAAGAAAAAATCACAAGTCTGACTTTTTTGAAATCGATAATGGACCTCTTCTCAGAATCGATCGCATATTTCTTTCTCTTCATTTTTTCTTGAAATTGATCATAGGTCTTATTGTTTGTACTGTTAATATGATTTTGTGATAATTTGTTTGTATTGTTAATCTGATTTTGTGGTAATTTGTATTCTTGAAATTAATTTCCGATTTGCTGTTTTGAAATTTAAGCTTATGTGAACTGTTAGAATTTGAATTTTTTGCTAATCTATGCTTTTGTCGCTGTTGAAACTGAATTTTGAATTTCTTATTTAGAATATGTGCTTATTTCAACTGTTGATTCTGATTTTTGTACTGTTGAAATTGTTGAATTTCATTTTTGTGCTGTTGAAATTGTTGAATCTGATTTTTGTGCTGTTGAATCTAATTTTCTTCTCCGCTTCCACATGACCACCTTCAACGACGACCACCATCTATCGATGTCGCCTTTTTCACTTCTACTACGCCTCCCTCGATTCATTCTTCTATATATCTGTAAATTATTAACCACACACCATTTATTTGACGCTCTCTTTCTCTACTATAGAAACGGGAAAGATACATGGGAAAAGACAAAAAGACCATCGCCGCCTGTTGTAGAATACATCATCTCACGATTAAATATCTTCCCCAGTCGATCTACACAAGTAAGTTGTATATCTATTTTTTTTGTTTTTTGAAGACAAAGCCAGTGTAGGGTTTTTACGTTTTTCTTATTTGGTTCATGTCAATTGAATGTATTTCATGTTTCTCCAGGGGATTTTGATGTTTCTAAGATTCAAATTGAATAGGGGATTGGCGTGTCTCACATTCAAATCGAACAGGTTATTTTATTTTTAATCTTTTCATCTATATGGGTTTCAAATCAGAACCCATGGAATTTTGTTGTTTGTTTTGTGAAGGTAGTGAAAAAACTATGACAGGAACTGGTGTTCTCTTTGGTTAAAATGTACAACCATGGCATATATAAAATTACATATAGGCTAAAGGGAATGGGCCTCGCTAAGGAGGTCGTCACCGGTCGCCAAGGGCGCTGAGCACCGCCCCCTTGTTTACGCCAAGGGAGTCGCCAGCTATGGCTCGCCAGCACCCTAACGAGTAGAGAGAGAAAGAGATTTGGTGGTTTTTGGCTGTTTTTGAGAATTTAGGTATCGATCCCAATACTCGACTTCAGGTACTCCACATCAAACGCACCACAACTGTATTCTTCTTATTCTTCCAATTTCAGTATCTATTGCTTCTTTGAAAAACAAATTGATTTCTCGGTCTGAAACCTAGATGATTTTATGTTTTTTCATTGGGGATTCATTACGTTCTTCACCGTTTTTTTAAATAGTGCAGTAATTTTTAGTTTAACTATGTTTGTTTTTGAGAATTTATGCTAATGTTAATTGAATTAGCTCTTGAATTGTGCTACATTCATGTCCATTTGGGAGAAAGGCTTTAAGACCTGTTTCTTTATGATTAGGTTTCGAATTTAGCAACCCATTCAAAGGTCCCGAACTAGCTTTTTGCCCAAAAAGCATTAGCGTTTGTATTTCCCCTTAGTGTATCAATTTTGAAGACATTCATGTAGAAATTGCTACCTTGTAGTTTATGAAAGTATTTAGCTTTAGATGGCTTCTCAGAATGATCTATTTGATACATAATAATCACAATCAGATGATTAAAACATGCCATAAGAGATCAAACCAGATTATTTAAGTATCTAATGGTGTATTGAGCATTCTTATATATAGTTGGATCATTTGATGACTTAGTATATATTGTGTACTTGTTGACATTTGCAGCTTCATGGAGAACTTGATACAAGAATTGGTGTTCCAACTTTTTTCAGCGCAATCCTTAGATACTTTCCTCCAGAAGTAAGTTACCTTTTCTTTATATTAAAATTTCACAACTAATTGTAGTAATTAATAAATATTTATCTTTCTTTTTATTCCCCATATATTATATATAGCTTTCTGCAAAAATAGGAGCAGGATTACAATATGATAGAAGTGAAAAACTCCATTACACCATGCATGAAAAAAAAGTCATTCCCACTAGGCCACTAACACCTGATGGAGCTGTCAATTTTGTTGTGAAAGGGCGTTGTGATCTTGACAAAGAATTTAAACGAGTATGACTTATTATTATTATTATTATTATTATTATTATTATTATTATCAAAAAACTAAACTATAATTTAGTTAATTTACTTACTTTTTATTTTTTTACAGCCCACACCAAGTGGAGCAGCTGAATTGGTTTGGAACATTCTTGATTTTCAGAAAAATATTTGTTTATTAAAAATAAAGTAATTAAATTAAATTACAAAAACTAAATAGAAAAAATATATTTATTAAAATATAGTAATTAAGTTAAATTAGAAAAAAGAAAATACAAAAAAAATGAGGGTCGAGCTTATGCTGTTGATTGTTACTTAAAGTTACTGGTCAGACTTTGTCATATATTTGATACCAGGGGTGGGGTCAAACGAGTCAAAGACGGGGCATCTCAAGATCAAATATTTAACGAAACCCATTTACAAAATTTGCAAAGACAGCTTGTCAATTATCTGCTTGAGGTTTGTGACTGAATGTTTAGAAATTATGGATTTTTTTTCTTATGTGAATGTGTATTTGGGCAGGTGAATACTCCTAGAATTGCTGCCGGACTTATTTGGGCAATTTCAGAACACATTGATTTAGAAGGTTTGGATCCTCTTTTAGTTGATGACCCAGAGGATGCATTAAACATTATCATATCAAAAATCCAAAAGATCTTGTTCAATGCTGACTCATCTGCGACTGAAACGAATAAGCTCCAAGATGTTCAAGCGGTTCTTTTATGTGCTCAAATATTGGGTTCACGTAATTCTAGGGCCGGCCAGTTGCTCACAAAAGAGCTGTTTGATAATTTTCATTTTTTATTGAGAATGTAAGGCATCCAAACTCTTGCACAATCTTAATTAAAGGTAATTAAAATTTTCATTTTTTTTATTTGAAAAATCTTAATTCAATTTTGTTTTTTTAATGGTTATAATTGTTTTATTTTCTATTATTATTAAAGGACCAAATGACCACACAATTTCACAAATCAAGGATGTTGTTAGAGATGGCCTGCGATCAGTAAAAAAACACCATTGAAGATGAGGCAGTTGTTAGAGTAAGAACACTCGTTGACTTTTTGACTTTAATTAAATTGAGCTTTATATATGTAACATTATATTTTATAACATATTTATTATTTAAAATATGTATTTTAGGGTGCTGGTGCTTTTGAGGTTGCTGCCAGACAGCATTTGATAAATTTCAGGGTGAAGAAAACTGTTAAAGGGGTAAATTGGACAATTTCTTCTCATCATTTGTAGCTTTTTTAATCCATGTGAACCAAATGTTAATTAGTTTTATAAATTTTTGGTGGTTATTTTAGCGTGCTCAACTTGGTGTTCAAGCTTTTGCGGATGCTCTTCTTATTGTGCCAAAGACACTTGCTAAAAATTCTGGACTTGATACACAAGACGTCATAATTTCTTTGACTGTAATTCCCATTATACCCTTGGTCTCTTTTCTTTTTTCCTTTCTTTTCATATAATAAAGTCTCTTACTTAATTTGATTAGGGGGAGCATGATAATGGGAATGTTGTTGGATTAAATCAACACACAGGTGATCCAATTGACCCTCAGATGGAGGGCATTTTCGACAATTACGCTGTCAAACTCCAAATCATCAAGTCAGCATATGCAAATACCTATAAAAACTTTTGCTAATTTCTTATTTTCCTTTTCTTAAATGAAATGTAAAAAAAGAGAACAAATATATAGCTTACCATTTTTTTTGTAGACCGGTGATTGCATCACAGCTGTTACTTGTGGACGAAGTTATCCGTGCAGGGCGTAACATAAGATAGCCAACTTAAGGTGTTTGTTTGTTTAGATCAAGCACAAAGAAATTTAAAATGTGAAATTATCTTTTTGTTAATGGGGTTTGAGCATGTTTTTGGTAGCTACATTGACATTGCAAAAAAGTTGGGAAAATATTTTTGTAGTGAAATTTGTTCAATAAGTATGCAGAGTGTTTCGTGGTAGATTTGTTATTTATTACCACAATGCATAGATTCCTGGATGTATGACTCCACACTGTTATTTGTAGTGAAATTTGTTAATCTGATATGCGTTAGAAATGTTGGTTTGCCATGGCTGGATTCATGGATGTATGACTCCACACTGTTTAGGCTTTTTACTTTATAAAACTTATTTTCGAAGTGTAAATATGGTTCATCAATAAAGTAAATGCTTTTGTAGTCGATGTAATGAGAAATCGTAAAATAATGCCACATGCCATTGTCGTTCCAAAAAAAAACAAAAAACAAATGCCCCATACCATAAATCAGATGTAAATACGTCTAAAATAAGAGATCTCATAAAATAATACAAATATTCAATGTCATTAGTGTTTATTTCAGTTAAATTATATATGTAAATAACTCTTTGATAAACAATTATATATTTAATTATGTGTGGTAATAGGGAAGTACACTATGGACAACATTTAACTAAATTGTTTTTTATGTGTTGCTAATTTGCTATAGGTACACAAAAAATAGTCTAACACATTGTTGTCTGCAATAGATTTAATTATGCATATTTTTAGATGTTTTTAGACTTTTAGTAAACATTTTAAGGGTTAATAGCATAAAAACCATTATATTTGTCATGCGTTTAACTATCCAACCATTTTTTATTTGTGCTAAGTTCTATCACGAGCATTATGACCTCTCATTTGAAAGAGTCATTCTTTAGCGCTAGGCCTAAAGCCCTTTGATATATGACATTCCAGTTAGTAAATTAATTGAAGAACTGAATCTTTTTGCAATAAAGGTCATACACTGCAAAGAATTTGACCATGAAACCGTTTAATACTTTCATATTGGTTAGATGATAAACAAATGCAAACTTGCAAAATTACAAAAGAATTATAAATTGTTTTTACTGTATATGATTTTGAAGATGATGAGTTTGATAGTCAATAATAGACTAAGATGGAGACGAACAATGCAAACGTAGTCCCAATGTTCAAAAATAACAAATACATTTATTTTAATCCGGACACAGATTGTCGAAAATAAAACTAATCACCGTGAGATAGTAATCACCGAATTAACCATTGGTCGCCGACGTATCGTGAAAAAGAAATCAGAGCAATAGATAAGGAACTATTCCTACACCACACCTACGTACTTAGCTGTAGTGGTGGACACATGATTTCGTAGTAGGTGTTGCCGGTGGCACATAGGTGTTGGTGGAGACATTTTTATTACGTAATGGCACAAAAGTATAAAAAATGAAAAATTCAAAAAAATTTACATTGCGTCCGAAAAACATAAGGGGTTGCAGGTGCCCCTATTGGCAACATAGTGGAACCGCCCCGACTTAGCTCAAAACTATTTGTTGAAAGGAGGTATCCAAAATAATCCATCAAAAGGCTAAAACGAACTATCTAAAATGAAAAAGAAACTAATCGCCGTATGAACATTATCTACTGGAAGGAACTATCTGGTGTGTCGCCGCATCGCGCGGGTATCCTACTAGTATATATATATATATATATATATATATATATATATATATATATATATATATATATATATATATATATATGTATATATGAATTTTATGTTGGAATGGTTCAACATAAGGAAATTCTATATATGGAAATGTTAATTGCGTTCTCAAAATTTGATTATGATTACGGCATCCCTCTTCATAATCAAAATTATGAGAACATGGCAAATAGAAATATTGTAGCAAAAGACTGGTCAAGTATTATGTCTTTATGAATCATGTCCAATATGCTTCGGGTATAGGATTGATTATATGTGCTATAATATTCATTTGTTCTAAAATTTCCAAATGCCTAGGGCATTAAGAGGGAAAAAGGACTAGAACCGGATATGACTAAAGTAGTTAACAACTGTTAAGGACAATCTAAGGTTCGCCAAGGATTGTTCGCTTGTAGTTGGAATTATAAACATGAATGGACCATATTGACACACTCTGAGAAGAGGTAACTCTTGTTCAGAAGTGATAGTCAAAATGGGAACATGAAAAATGTTTCAATAAGTGGAAGTGATTCTTTACATCTGTGTAAGATTAGAAGAAGGATGTTCAAAGGAATGTACTTTGAATTTGAGACTTCGTTTCCATGGGATTGCTCTCCATTGGAATACTTTGTAATGTTTGTTGCCAAGTCTCTGTGACTTTTGTGCATAGTCATTACAAGAGGATCATTGCATATAAGTTTAGAATCTAACATATTATAGTAAATGGAAAGAATTTGATATTCTTACATTTACGGTAAGGATTTGGAACTGTGAAATGAGCATCATTGAAATGTAGTCAATTGTTCTATTTCACAAAGTAAGGATCATAGATAAACATAGTGTGCATGCTTGGAGCATGGGACACTTATTGTTTTAATTCAAGTATTAAGTTGATTATACGAAACATTATACAATGAATAATGAGTAATCAATATGGCACTCAAAAGTTTTGGGGCCATATAGGATTAGTATTATTCTTGTGTTTCACTTTGCATGTTTTGACTTCCCGAATAACTAGGTTATTCAAACCATCCACAGTAATTCATAATTTGGAAGTAGGTATTGAGGCAAGACTGTCATGAATGGGTCTGTAGTTTGTCTAGGTGTTTTAGACACAGTTGCAGTGTTCATGAGTACTCCTGGAATAAGATTCGAGTACTGGATTCAACCCACGATCATCTGAATCACTTCATGGATTTTATCGCGAGTGATCGTGAGACGATAATATCTTATATTCTTGAAACCAAGACATGTGAGTTGTAGTTTACAAGTCAGTTGCACATTGACATATGTAAACGCACCAGTAACTTGGTGTTATAAAACATATTTTTGTGTGATATTTGATGAGTAAGTACAAGCAAGCATTTGAGTCGAAGTTTATCTGATCCTTTTACCCTTAGAGGGATAAAAATGATATATGTGGGCCCCTCGATGATTTAGTGATTACACCCCTATGTGCTGGGCCAAGCCTGGACTGATTTGATTTGTTCAATTAGTCGGTCGTCACAAATCGGAAATCAGAAAACAACAGATGGACAGAGAGAATGATTATAATCCATGTCTCAGTACATACGATATCTAGAATAGAGAAATATATGATCCCTTATCCAATGGACGCGTCATTGACTAGGTCAGAGTTCGACAGCAGCTTTTAAGAGCTATGATTGCTAGTCAGGATTTTGGAGTCGTACTTGCAATAATAGTTATTAGACTTAGCCAAGTGGGAGACTGTTGGATTAGGTGTCTATGCTCATAACTATAATTGGTATGTACTTGACCCAAGAGTAGCATGGTCTATTTGGGTTGCATATCACCAGGACAATTTGATAGGATGGACTTTTGAGAAGAGGTTATTTATGATTTGTTAATATATTATAAGTTATAATATATAAATATACAATCATATGATTTAATTAGTATTCATCAAGAATTAATTTCGAATTAGTGTTGTGATTAAAAGAGACTAATTAAAAATATAGGGATTAATTTGGTAAATCATTTATTCTTATGGTGTGGGTCAATGATCCATGATTCTTTAGGTTGGGCTAAACCAATGTTACAACCCATGGATGATCCATTGGGGTTTAAACCCATCGAGCCTAAGGAATATGGAAGGTCATACACATTAGGGTTTACATGGTGTAACCCTAATCTTGCCACACTATATAAGAAGCCCCTTAGCATCCAAAATCGGGTACTACATGTTCTAAGAGTTCATGAGCCGATTTGAGTGTAAGAATATTCTCTTAAAAGTCATCCTTTGTCCAAATGTGTGTTGTGATTCCATTTGAGGTGCAACACTTGGGGCACTAAGTTCTTAAGGCCAAACACAACAAGTTCTACAAGCCACAACCAAGAGGTAACTCCATAACTCAATTTTATGTTGTTTATATCATTTTGTATGATAGTTGTGGGCTTAATGCTTTGGAAACAATATTGCATGTATAATTAGAGAAAACATAGATCCAAAGCATTTAGGGTTGTAGTTGCACCATAGAATGTTGTAGTATACTAAAACCCATCAAGATTTACAAGAGAGGGTGTTGGAGAGGTGAAGACTGAGAATGGAATGGGTTTGGGGGAGTTAAGGAGCTTAATTAGGGCTCAAACCACGAAAATAGGATTTGGGCACTGATCGTGTACGCCCAACGTACTCAATTTACGATCAGTGTAGTAGGGATTCCCTGGTACGATAGGGATGAGAATATGGTCCGAAAACCCAAACCGAACCGAACCGAATCAGGCCTGAATAAACAATTCGATTCGGGTTTGGGATAATCATATTATGCTTATTCTGTTCTCGGGTTATTCGGTTCGGGTTACCCAAATAAGAGCTTATTCCGTTCTAAATACCTGACCCGAATAAGTATTCCTCCTCCCTTTTCTCTAATCGATAGAAATCAAAATCATAATTCACATTTTTGTCCTTGTCGTTCAAAATAGAAAAAAAAAACCTACAGTCGTTCTCGTCATTTCAAAATCGACCAATCTTCTCATCTATTTCCAAACTCGAAATCACTTTTGCCGATCCTTCCTCTTGTTTCAAACATTCAAAAATCGACCCTTCATATTGTCTCTAAGGATTCACGAATTCCTACTTTGTCTAGTCATGGAAAATTGGGCTCTAACTCAAGAAACTCAAGTAAGAAATTAATTCTCATTATGTTAATCTACTATGTAAATGTTATTCTTTCAATGTGTTATTGTGTTATGTTAGTATTTGAATGTTTTGTGTTGATGTATAAAGTACATTATTATTCTATTATTCAGTTTTTTCGGTTATATTATGTCCTTAATCATCTTGTACA